TTGTTAAGCGAGCTGTGCCCCATTTCACGACCTTTCTTGCTACAGGTAAATCCCCGCAGTTAATTAAGGGCGGAGATGCCAAGACTGTCTCTGTAGCGCTTCCTAGGCAGCTAGTCCTCAACATACGACGGCCGCTGGCCCAAATTTCCGTTGCTAAGGGAGGCCTCTGTTTAGTGACTTTCGCCCCCATTTTCCAGCCTTACTTGCTACACTTGTTAAGTGAATCCCTGGCACTTAGTAACACGGTCGTTAAGCGAATCTGGATTCCCCGGTGACGTTGCTCGTCCGAAGTTCACAAAGAAAGGGGGGGTTTGCTCGCTTAACAACCGCAGCGATCCACTTAGGAACCGTGCCAAGAAAGGTTGTAAAACGGAGCGACGTTCGAAGAAGGGCTTTCTTGCTTAGCGTCAGAAATCTGCGGCCTCCACTGCGGTCGTAAGTGGAGGACCACTTAAATTCCTTGCGTTTCTTGTTTTTCCACCCAGAGGGGGGGAAAAAAAACCAGCATCCGCAGCTGCATTATTTGCAATTCAGCTTCTGGGTTGCAGCTGCAGCCGAGTCACAAATGCCAAACAATTCGACCTGATCAGCGAAAACTATTTATACGTATTTTTTTTAACAGGGAGAAAAAGAAATAAATCAGGCTTGGGGAAAAAACCCCCTAGAAATGCAGATTTTGGGCCGGAAGGTGGATTTGAACTACAAAAAAGAAATTATGTTTGACTTTACCTACGCGGGGATGGCCAGGTGGTTATTGCGTGTATGAAGAGACGGGTAATCCTCGACTTACGACCCCCAACGTTTCCGCCGCAAAGCAAGACCACTCGTTAAAAGTGAGCTTGGCCCCGTTTTGCCACCGTTGTTAAGTGAATCGCGGCAGTTCTTAAGCGAGTCGCACGGTTGGGGGTTCCGCGCGACCCTGGGAATGCGGCGACCGTCCTAAATACGAGTCGGTTGCCAAAGGGTCTGAAGATGGACCACGGGGACGGTCGTTAAGCGTGAAAACCATTCCTAAGCCACTTAAGTGCCATTGTAACTTTAAATCGTCGCTAAGTGAACGGTTTGTAAGTCGAGGAATAGCCCTGAGTTGCCATATTGGCGAGATGGACAGTAGAGATGTTTAATAAATAAACGAATAAAAGACAAGGGAAAGGGGGCCACAGGGAAAGCCCAGCCGACAAGAGTTTCAAATTTAAGTCCTATTTTAGGAAACTGAGCATCACCTGTACAGGTGCGCCGTTTGCTGGTCATCTTCTAGAGGTCACCACTGCTCCCTTTAGATGGCCAAGCAAAGCCTTGACTGACGGCGATTCATTTAGCGACCGTCCCAAGTTGCAACAGCAACTGAAAATATGGATCGTTTTTCCACGCTTATGACCGTCGCAGCCTCCCACGGGTCACGCGATCGAAACTTGGGACGGCTGGCAACTGATTCGTATTTATGACGGTCGCGCCGTCCGTTTTGTGACCTTCCGACCAGTCCACAGGAAATCCAGATTCACTTAATGACCGGGTGACTAAATGAACCACCACTCACCCGCCGTGGAGAGAAAGGTCACAAAGCGGGGTTCAAAACCCGCTTAACAACACTCGGCAAGGGAGGTTTGGAACTCCCGCTGTGGTCGTAAGTCGAGGCCCAGCGGTATTGAGGAAAGTGTTAAACAGACAAACAACTCGCCTGCCGAATTTCTCCTTCGGAAAACAACTCCGATATTCTATTTATTTTTTTTAACGATTGCATTTTGATCAAGCGGAATGGCTTTTAATTGGATGCAGGGAAATTTATTCATTATCGCTCTGCTGGGAATAGTCGCCGACGACATTTGCCCCCCTTTTTTAAAAACTTGAAATTATTATTTTTCTTTTTAAAAACCCTTGTTATATAAATTACGACCGGCTTACCCACTTTAGAAGGGTTTTTCCCCCCCAAGGATGGGGGAGTTTGCAAGCTCTCTGGGGCAGGGACTCTAAATTACTAATTTTGCACAAGGAGAGGGGGGGCACTTAAAGGGTTATTGGGGGGGGGAATTGCGGGTGGGACAGGTAAAATTTGGTCAAGATTCGGATGCAGCAAAACGAAAAAAAACCTAGCTGGACTTGAACCAAGAATGACTTGCAATGGCATCCAGAGATGAGATCAGGTCCAGAATGACGGCGGAGGGGGTGGGGTGGGGGACCAAATCCCCACTGCATTTATCTCCCCCAACATCTGCCCCAGCTGGAGTTAGAAGTCTATGGCTATCAAAACATCCTATTTTCCCCACTGGGGGAGAAAAGAAATGAGAGGAGGGGGTGGGGAGAGAAAAGGGGCATTGGGGCTCGCACACGCGTGTGCACACCCCCGAACAGGAAGAAGCCCCCCCCCTCCTCCCCGTTTCTCACCAGCGCAAATCTTGCCTTCCTTTCCTTTCCTTTCTGGACGGATATTGCCAAAACACACACAATAATAACTGCACAACCAGCCGATGGAGAAGGCGGCACACACTCAACTTCCTCTCCCCCCCCCACACACACCAAATTTTGCACCAATATCCGCCTTGGAAGTCCCCACAGAGCCCCCCCTCCCCCTCCTTGCAGCCTGCAACCACCACAATCTTTGCCCCCCCCCCTTTTGCAATAAAATTCAGCATTGGGGAATTGGCTAATAGTTGGCTGGATCTGCTTCCTGTCCCTGACGGGCAGCTGTCAAATCTGCAGCCCCCACCCCCAATCTCCCCAGTTTGAAATATATCTTTTTGTGCATTTATGGGGAGGGTCTCCATGCCCACCCTCTTCCGCCTGCAGGCAGGTAAAAGGGGACAAGGCCTCCCCGCTTGAAATTTGCACCCCCTCCCGCCCCACAAATGGTGGGCCGGCCGAGACCTCCCCCCCCCACTCTGCACCCTCCCTAATGGGTGGGGTTTCCCCCCCCTTCTTTTGCAGTGCGCCCCCTTTCCCTGGTCTCGCAGTTCCTTCTTTTGCAAGCTGCAAAGGGGGGTGGGTGGGGGGGGAGAGAAGGGAGGGCCAGCAGCTTCCTGAATGCATGCATGCATCGATGCATCTTGCACCAAGCTGCTGCAGTGAAGGCATGCAATGCAGCAGCGGGGGGGGGGGGGGGGGGCGAGGAGGGAGGGCCAGCAGCTTCCTGAATGCATGCATGCATCGATGCATCTTGCACCAAGCTGCTGCAGTGAAGGCATGCAATGCAGCAGCGGGGGGGGGGGGGGGGGGCGAGGAGGGAGGGCCAGCAGCTTCCTGAATGCATGCATGCATCGATGCATCTTGCACCAAGCTGCTGCAGTGAAGGCATGCAATGCAGCAGCGG